GTGAGTGAGCACCCACTACCCGTAACGCTTGAAGGCGGGCATTGTCTTCAAGAGACTCGAGCTGAATGGAGACTAGCCGTGATACTAACGAATTTCTAGGCATACTCCTTTTCTTGGGCTTGAAACTTTCTGCTGTTGGCCAGAGGTCAAGTCAAGATCACCGAGCTCTCCCACAGGTACATGAAAAGAACCCCGAACAAATACGGTGAAGATGGCAGTTCAATTATTGCCAAGGAAGCATGTGTCAAGTTCTGTATGAAACACCTTAGTGTTTCGCCTTCTCATTTGAAACTCAATGCTGCTCTGGCTTAACTTAGTCTCTTTCAAGGCGAAAGTAGCACTTGTGCTTGTTATACATGGTATTTCAGCCACACTAATAGGCTCTCCGTTCATACCCCTCCCTTGAGCCCATTTGCCAATGAAGCTTTTCAAATAAGTATTTAAGATGCTTGCCAAACATCAAATTTTCTATGCCATGAGGCTTCGGTAGTTCGATGACTCTTATCGTGAAATACCAGTTTCGCTGGCCCTATTTCCTGCTTCAGTTTTGTTATGCATAATAAACGAAGTCTTGAGTTACTGAACCTTTTGCCAACTCTCGAGGCTGTTCTCACGCGCGGTCCCTTACGGTTCTCATGCAAGACGACGTGGTCGTGATGACGGTTACGGCACTGAGGGGAATTTTCACCCACACCGCTCCTATCAGCAGCAGAGCTGACTCTTCGTTGAGTCCACTATTTTCCTGGCCTTTAGTAAAGAATTCCTCTTCTAGAAACCTATCCTACTAGCTTTTCGTAGGTTTGAGTATCACATCCTCCCAAGTACTACATTCCATATTGTACTGAACAACCACTGATTAAATGCAATAGCCACTTTTGCAGCGTCAAAGTTAACAAGTTCTGTGATGACCTAAAGAGGTTTTCTTCCGCTCGTCGTTTGCGTAAAGACCGTGCGCATCGTTCTCAAAGTGATCTGTACAAAAAAAACACTCCCGTGAGCATTCATGTTCAAGTTTTCGAAAGCCATAGCTTTGTTTAGGAAGTCGGTAAGCATTCTTCCCCTTTTGAAAGCAGAGATTTCGTAAACTATAGAAGAAAAGATGAAAAAACCATTCATCGGGAGTTTTATGATGAGGCGACCTTTTTTACGGGCGCATCAATCTGGCTCCAATTCAGAAGCGCGCTCCATCTCTTAGAAATTAAAGTTTGAGGTTCAACTTTGACTCTGGGAGGGCCTGAGTACGCAGTAAAGTTCTCTCTGAGAGTAAGTGCTATTTCGGACTTTTGAGTCAGCGTGTTAATTCGACAATATGGGATGTCAGTACCTGGGAGTTTCGATGACTGATTATTCGTACTGATATAGACAGCATGACATTGTTACCGAGAGCTTTTGAACAAGTATACGGTACGATATGGAATGATACTAAAATTGAACTAACGAACTGGTTAGGCGTTTTTATATTGTGATGCTCGAGCTATGGCCTTGTTCTCCAACGT